TCCATGCACCATCAAAATAAAAGTCCATGCACCATCAAAATAAAATTCCCGCTTCCAACACATCAGCCAAATAGAAATGCTTGTTGGTCGATGCCTATAATTAATAAATGGCAAATATCGGCCGATATATTGGTCTTGGTGATATCTACTGGTCCACGACTAATCTGCAGTGAGCCAAATAAACTTACATCGTCCATGTATTCGGGTTCGGCAGCAGACGCGTCCCAGCGATTGTTCAGGATGAAGATGTTAGGCTTTGACAGGCGTTCATTGACCTTGTGGAAGAAATGCTTCTCCTTTAAAAAGAAATAACAAAGAGGTTGAGTTCACTAGAGGTCGTGTGATGGAAACACACACACACACATGCTGGCAGCGTAAAGACAACACACGTGTTCACTCTTATCTAATCAGCTGTTGAGTAGCAATAAACTACAGCATTCAATCCGGAGCAAGAAGAACGTGCGCTTAAACACAGAAATACAGGAACATCTGAACTCATGTGAGCATCACATCAAATGAGATATAATGTGAAATCTAAAACTTTGAGATATGGATGTATCTGAAATATTGGCTTGTTCAGAACAGCACTAAAACTAAAACCATTAAAAAAAATCATTATTTAAAATAAAATAAACTTGATCTGAAATTTATATAAATATACAACATTTAGTTTAACAATGTACTAAAAACTAAAATAAATATAAAAAATATATATAGACATATATAAAAATGACAAAAACGTTCAACAAAACTACTAAAACTTTACAATTAAAATATAAAACCTAATTCAAAATATTAATAAAAACTATAAAAATATCTCAATGATACTAAAATAACACTGATTCAGAGTGGAATACTTTATATAATATTTATTTGTATATACTTTATATAGTAAAATCAGTATGCATATATGGGAGGAATATGTTTTGGTTTATTTAACCAAAATTAAATAAATCTATAAATAATTTATTAAATAAGTTATACAATGCAAAAAAAAATAGTTTGATAAAGTGCAAGCATAAATTAAATAATATATGAATTTTTTT